ATGTCCTAGGGAGTTGGGAGAAAATGAGGAAACTTTAATTCAATAAGCAATTGTTGAATTCCTTGTGTATGGCAGGTACAGAGGTGATGGGAAGGAGGCCTGGGGGTGGGGGTGGGGCTGGAGGGCCATTCGAGAGAGACCACCCAAGACCTGTGTTCAGGATCGCGTTATGGATACATCCTGGTGCGCTCGTCCAGGCCCCCAATGTCAGACAGGGGGTATTTTCCCACTCTTAAGACAGTAACCTACCAGTCTCCTCAAAATTACTACACAAAATCTGAAAGCTAAAGTACAGTCAAGCATGATGTTTGGGAAACCAGGACAATTATTTGTCCGAACAAACACGCGTGTGCTTGGTGCAATCATGGAAGACTATTGGCTGCAATTAGATGCTGAACTTTGCAGGAAGCCCCCCTCCCTCCTTGGGTCCCTCCTGCAACCTTTTCAGTCTGAATCCCTCTGCCCGCTTCTTACAGAGTTTCAATCTTTTTTTTTTTTCCCCCCTCAAATTGAGGTCCTTCATAGGACCATCTTGCACTGGAATCCCTGAGAGGTGCATCTGAAATGCAGATCCTTGTCCCACACTTTAGGACCAGGAGAGACCCCGGTAGGCACAGCCTTAGCAACTCCTGGAGCCTTGAGGAGAGGGAGTAGGGAGGAAAAGGAAGAAGTTCCCCTTCAGATTGGGTTTCTCAGAGCCCTGCAGGGGTGGAGCAGAGGCGTAGCAGTGGCCTCCAGGAGAAGGGAACTTCCCGTCCCTGTGCCTGGGGCAGAAGGTTCAGGCCTACTGCTCATTCTAGTGGGAGGCCAGCACAGCCTTGGCTTTGGGAGAGGGCCCCCTGCTGCCCTGGGGGCATGCCTTGAGGGTTGGGCAGGATTTCCACTGGCTAAGATGGTCAGAAAGAACTTTCCAGAGGGACGCAACCACGTGGACACAAGGATGAGAGTGTTGGGGTTCAGAGTATTCGCTTTGGGGACTCAGGGGTCGAACGCTTCTCATTCTGCTCTGCCCCTTCAGAGCAGTCAACCTCATGGCAGTGCAATACTTAACGCAGGCTCAGCTACACAGGCACCTATTGCCCAGAGCACTTGACAGACAGGTGATAGGAACTCTGCACACACTCCCCCTTAACAAAAGATGTGCTTTCTGATTGGTGTTTAGGGGGAGGACTAGAATCACTTTTTGACCAGAGACCAGGGTAACTATATTTTTGTTGCTGCTCCTCGCCCCTTCCCCCACTCTTTTAACACCCACACCTCAAGTGCCAGCTCTAAGTTCAAACATGGGACCTTCCCCCTTCCCTCTAGCTACTGTATCCCAATCCCTGCCCTCTCCAATTTTCCTCCCCATGTCCAATGTTCTATGAAGAAGAGTGTGAAGATAGTGAACAAAGGAAAAAATGTTGACAACTTAACAGAATCGACATTGCTAGAGAATAATTGACCACACATTCCTTTTAACTTAAAAGGAAAAAAAAAAAAAAAAACACCCAAACTCACTGCCCTGAGTCCAATCTGACTCATAGTGACCCCTCCTTGGGTGTCCAGGTGGTATCACTACTGAAGCAGATTGCACAGTCTTCCTTTTGAGGAATGGCTGGTGGGTTTGAACCGCCAGCCTCTGCTTAGCAGCCAAATGCTTTAGGCACTACCCCACCAGAAATCAGACTACTTTCTTTTTCAAAAAAATTCCAAACTCAGAGAAATGGATATTATATAGTAGGACTTTGTGGCATACTTTCTACAGTTGTGGTACAACAAAATAGGCTGAAAATTTGGGGGAAAAGATACACACATATTTCAATTGTAAAAATAAATAATGCTTGCAACAGCTATTCATTGAGAGCCTATTTGTGTCATGGGCTGTGAAACATTCAAATGCTTTATGTATATTCATCCTCACAACCACTGTGAGGTAGGTAATATTTTTATCACCCCCTCTTTTTTTTAAATGAGGGAACTGAGGCCCAGAAAGGGAAGGAACTTCCTCCATGGTCACACAGGTAGTATGGTAAAGTCAAGATATGAATCCATTTCTGACTTCAAAGCTTTTTCTTCTAACTGCAACACTACATTATTCAGCCAATATAATTTTTCTGTTTCACTCTCTTTAAAACCCATGTAAAGTATCCCTGTCATGGAAATTATGCAGTTGTTTATCTTGTGCACTCCTAAAAGAGAGCCACAATTTCTAAAATAAATGACTAACTACAGAGTACAAATTACATACACTATTCATATGGTGTGAAAAGACCAAAATATCTAATATGCCTTCAGAAAAATTTATGATCGCTAAGCTATATATATTTATATATATATCG